ATATATATTTATATATATATATTTACTGTTCCTATTATAAACATAACGTTAGACGGTTTTCTATATGTTACATATAAAAGCGCACGTGCTCAGTTCATGCCCTAACTCTGTTGTCATTGAGCGCAGCCGGAAATGCTCAAAGCAACAAAAGCAAAAAGTCGAAAAAAAGAGAACAAATCAACAGCAACAAACTGCAATCGCTTTGTGAATATTTAAAAGCAATTCACTTCTGTCTTAATGAAATACCCTAACCGCATTCGTCCCTCATTTGCCCTGCCTCCCATCAAGTCGCTCGAGTCGCTTAAGCAGGCTATTAACATGCACAATCAAAGTCGTTCGCTTTGCCGTGGGGCGGGGCTGTTCTGGGCGTTAACAATACATTTAAACTGTTTGCGTTGATGTACTCGAATTCTCGTATTGTTTATATTTTATAAAATTTATTTATTGCTGATTATGTGGCATTGTGCAGAGCTCTGAAAAAAAGCAATATATTATGATTCGTGAAGTGAAATGTTGAATCGAAATAATTAATTGCACAATTTTGAATATACTAGGGTGTAGACAGATGGATTTATATCAAGCGATACATTTAATGAAAACAATTTTTAATTTATTATAAGTAAACAAATTCGATCATTCATTATCATAATATTCCATTTAATATATGTATATTGAGATCTGCATATTATTTAATATATTATTGGATTGGTATTAATCAGAGTCAAATTGAGGTAGAAAATGTTATTACTTCTATTTTGAATACTCTTCCAATCCTCTCATTGATTGACAGCCTTCAGTTTGTGAGGCATAACATCGACTTATAGTATATAATATATTATAATACAATAAAGTATTTGATTGCTAATTTTAGTATTGTATTCAATAAAATTTTGCTCGAGGTCATGAATTTGTTAATTATGGCTAAACAACAATAAAACAAAGTAGAATAATATACATAAAGGTTGAGTAGATTGTCTGTTCAAGAGCTTTCCATTCCCTTAACAGTAGTTAGTAGTAGTTCAATAAATAAATAAAGAAATGCAGAATCTTCATTGCATTGCTACTCTGTTTAAGGAATAATAATAACTTTTCAATACATTAATTTTTAGATAGACAGGAAAGTCTGCTGGTGATAGAACCGCAAGCTGCACGTAGTACTTTGACAATGTAGGACAATACGAATTTCTGCAGATATTATCTGCAAAGAATAGCTCAGGCTGGTTATAGAAAAAGATGAAGAAATTACGATGAAAAAGAGTCAAACGAAAATTAGATCATGACGAATGAGAACAAAGTTTACTTTTAGTGTGCGTATTTGTCTGATTTTATACCATTTAATTAATATTATGTTAAGTACAGGGTATCTATTAGCTGCTTGCATACAAAAATAGAGGACAAAGTAACGGAACTATTTTTTATCGACTAATTTTCAGACTCACACTTGCATGCTTGCTACACATATTTTCGCATATTTTTCGAAAATGCCTTTGAAATTCATGTATTTGTTGTCAATCGGCATTTTTGGAACATGGCATTACAAACAGCTGAAGAGTCTTACAAACAGTTTTAGACTGTCATTTTGTTTGGCCACACGTCGTATGAGTAATGTGATAAAATAACTTTTCATTTCTGTTTCGGCCTTTCTGTCTGTCTAACTGATATGGCACGGCATTAGCGGACATCTAAAGCTCTATACGAAAACTAAAAATAAAAGTAGGCTGTGGGCTAGGGCGTGGCAATTGGTGGCTGTGACAAGTAATGCTTGTTGTCAAGAGCCGCTTGCCGGCTTTGTTTTTGTTTTCTACTCGTTCACAAAGTGAAAAGAAAAATATATTGCTTTCAGGCAATATTCAGCACGTAGTTGGCTCGACTATGACTCATTTAGTCTTTAAGTTAGATACCTCAACTAATTTAGTGTAAACAATTAGTTAGATACGCTCTTTAGTGATGTGGTAAATTGGTAATTGGATTATTATATTTATGGCTTATGGTGATTTCGCAGGTAGAAATTTGTGATAAATCGATACATTCGAATATATTACTGAAAAAAAAAAAAAATATACTAGAGATTTTATTTTATTGCTTTTAAAAAGAGATATACATGGTAAAGAAATGGCATGTGAAAAAAAAACTTTAACTTTGAAGCATAGTTTGTAGACTGAAAATTATGAAGATTTTCAAAGATAAATCTATAAGAGTTATATGCTGTATCTATTAGAGCATCGCAATATTTAGTTGATTTCCTGGAAATTTGAAAAATGGAAACTGTGAAGATTTGAGTGATGTGCTAAATCTATTGAGCCATGGTAAATATAATATTTGTTGATTTCTTGGAAATCTCAATGAGTATTATATAGTTAGGTTAATAGCCGGCAACATTCTTCTATTTTTTTTCTATAGATTCAAATTCTTGTATTTTCTCAGCAGAGGCAAGTTGTTAATTAATTCGCTTTACACATTCTATGACATGATTTTTAACCAATTTGTTTTTTTTTTTATGAGTTTCAGAAATATGTTATAAAATTTCTGCGAATATTTCGTGTTTAGCTACGTGCCGTAATGTCCGCCAAAAAATATTATATAATCATTAAAATGGTTTTATTTGACTTTTTTTGCTTGACCCTATTTCATATGATCATAATGATCATTAACTAGAAATGAATTTAATGTATTAGTTTTTAGCGACAACTCACGAGTTTTTCTTGGCAATCCATATGAAATATATAGTATATGCTAGTCGAAAATTGGCTATAATCGAAATTGTTGTTGTTTGTGTGAGGTCAGTGCACTCTGAAATTGTTATAGCATACATATATTTAATATATATATGTATATGCGTATATGTATAGCATATAGAATGCTTCACAATTTCCATTTGTCATGTGAACTATTATTCTTTGTCTAGTATTTTTGTGGCCCAATTGATAAGGATTTGGGCATACTTATTTGTTTGTTTAGTTTAGTTTTACTTGGGGGACTTTCTTATCTGTATTATACTTAATACTATTAAAGGCTGATTAATACCCTTTCTACACTTTCAATTGATGAACTCTCCCACTTGTTAATCACTTTTAACCAGCGTATTTAAGATAAAATGTGAATTTCTTTGTATTTTTGTTTCTGTTTGCTGCGGGCATTATTTTACTCAAATGGTGCCAAGGTTTTGTCTCGTTATTATCTAATTACTTAATGCCTTTGTCAGCCTGGCTGGGGCTATCTTAAGCCACTAAGCACACCCACTTGACCGCCGCTGATGAAGACCCAAAGTTTGGGCAGGGGAGGCGGGGTTGGATGTGAGCTAAAAGTGAAAGGTTCTTAAATACATATTGTGATTGCTTTACTTTGTTGTCGCTGATAATACTTTATAATGTTGTAGCTTCGTCAATGAAAAGAACAGAAATTGTGTTTTTAGAAGAGCAACTGAATAGAAGTAATGAAAAATATAAAAAAAAAAAAAAAAAAAAAATGGAATTATGAAGTGCTTATGTTTGTTTATTATCTTTATGTTTTATTGTATATATTATAATATTATTTAATAATTCATTAAACTAAATAAATTCATTATTTGTATTTTCCTTTTACTTGCATAAATAATCATATTTTTATTCATTATCTAAATTCTTTATATTTCTTAATATATTTGAAATGAATGCTTTTTGCATAGTTGTTATTCACTTTAGATTTCGAGATTCCTTATCTGGTTTATTATTCAAAATCCCATATATTATGATTGAATCTTAGTTATAGAAGAAAGAATTTTTTTATAAATTTAAAGTTTGTATACGAAATTCTCCAGTGAATTTGGCATTTCGCTTTTACATAAAGCAGCCCAAATATATTCGAACTATATATGAAATATTCACGAATCAATTTAAAGTCGATTTATACCAATTTTGATAGGGTTTGTTCGCTCCGGTTGGTCGAGTGCCTGGCGCTGCTGCTGCCATGAACTCTGCCGCCTGCGCCTTGGCAGTAAATTTTTAGCGAATGTTTTGCTCAATTGAAAAATTATGTGTGCGCGCTGGCCGCGCTGGCAATTGAATCAAATCAAATAAAAACGCAGCGAATCGCAACAATTGAAATCTACGCATTTTGGTTTGCGCCTCGCGACGCACCCCCTCTGTGCCCCCCGCACTTGCCGAGTGCCATGTAAATTTTTTGCAAACTGAATGTAACGACGTCAAGAGTGGTCTACGTGATTCGCTTCAGATTAGTTTTTCATTTTTCGCTAACTTCTGTCTATACATTTATTCTTTTGTAGGAATAATGAAAAGCGCAAGGAAAAGTCACGGGATGCGGCACGCTCTCGTCGCTCCAAGGAGACGGAAATATTTATGGAACTATCGACGGCATTGCCTCTAAAGGCCGAGGATGTAAATCAGCTGGACAAGGCATCTGTGATGCGCATTACCATCGCCTGCCTCAAGATACGTCAGATGCTTGAGTTTTGTAAGTTTCATTTGCATAAAGACATCATCATATATATGTACTATATAAACGTCCCCATCTTATAGTGCCCGACTGCGATGCGGTCAAACCGAAAGTGGAGTTCTTCGAAGAGGATTGGCTAAAGTGCGCCGAGGCCAGTGAACTGTTGAAACAAACCATGGATGGTTTTCTGCTGGTGCTATCTAATGAGGGTGACGTCACCTATGTTTCGGATAATATAATGGATTACCTCGGCATAACCAAGGTAAAGCGAATTATATGGCCAAATTGATTTATTATTGCATTAATTACAATTACTTTCTTAACAGATCGATACGCTCGGCCAACAGATTTGGGAGTATACGCATCAGTGCGATCATGCTGAGATTAAGGAGGCACTTAATCTCAAACGCAATGGCATTGTTGACAAGGTCAAGGATGAGCAGCTAATTGAATCGGGCGTTAGCACGCATCATCGTGATCTATTCGTGCGCATGAAGTGCACTCTGACCAGTCGCGGGCGCAGCATCAACATCAAGAGCGCCTCTTATAAGGTCAAAACACGAACTCTCTCGCAAGGGAATAGATTTTTAATACATGTTTTCTATATATGTTTTGCAGGTTATTCACATAACCGGCCATTTGCGCGTGAATAGCAAAGGAGAGCGCGTTTTAATTGCCATTGGGCGGCCCATACCGCATCCTTCGAACATTGAAATACCGCTGGGCACCAGCACATTTCTGACCAAGCACAGTCTGGACATGAAATTCACCTATGTGGATGACAAGTGAGCCGAGTTATATGAAACAATTGTGATTTACTCTTACTAATACTCTATTCATTTTGTCTTTAGAATGCACGCACTGCTTGGCTATCTGCCTGGCGATCTGCTGGAGACGTCACTTTTCCAATGCCAGCACGGCGCCGACTCAGAGCGTCTGATGGCCATCTTTAAGAGCGGTAAGTGCACGACTAGGGGCATTATTTTCTCTCTTTTATTTTGTCGCTTGTTCATTAAAACTAACTGCAGCTAACTAATATTAAACTAATTACTTTAATGTACAAATTAAAACGCGTTCTCGTCGTTAGTTTGTGCCTCGTAGCATAAGCGCACGGGCGGACTTCCATTTCCGTCGCCCAACAACTACATCTCCTTAATGTCCTGCCGCATCAAAATAAAGTTGTCACTCGTTACACTTCGTATACTCTAGCAATGGGTGCTACGAGTTTTGTTGCTAAATTTGCAATGTGTGATGTATAACCATATTAAGCTATCCTAATAAAACTTGACATATTTATATAAAATTATCAAAAGATAAGGTATTGCTCTAATATTTTAAAACTCAGCTATTCATTATTATTATTATTATACTACATTATTATTAGCAACTAGATTATTGACTCGATAATGATTTGTGACATTTCTAAAGTTAAAGTCAGTTTGAGAAATATCTCATAGTTCTCAAAAGTGTCGAAAATAGATCTGTTTATTAGATCTAATATTATTACGATTTCCTTCCACTCTTTGTATGTTCTGAGAACACGTAATGATATAATGAGATAGCGTCGCTCTTACCGCGCAATCACATGATATAGAGTCTAGACATCAGTCTATTAACTCATTCATAAAATTGTATATATCATATTTCTTTCAAATAATGTGTGGAAATATAGGAAATAGAGACACATACAAAATTTGCTTATAATATCTATAGCATTTCATATCAGAACTGTAGATTCTCCTATAATACTTATGGTATATCATATATATAACGAAAGAGTATTCAATTATCGTTAGCTAGTTGCCGTATTTTCTCCATCACTTTCTGTCATGCCCGTGTCCTGCCATATCCTGCCGTGTCCTGCTGCCAGTTTGCTTATTGCATTTAATTAGTTGTAGCACACCGTTAGCCAACTCCAACTCCGACATTAACGCCAACTCGTCCGTTTGCTGCTGCGTGTCCTGCTGCTGCTGCTGCTGCTGCTGCTGCATAAGTCCATTGTCGTTGCCTGGCTTTGCTTTAATTTCACTTTAGTTGCTAATTAGCTTTTTGCAACAACTAAATAAATAAATTGTTACGGACAGCTTTGGCTGTGTCTCTAGGCGGTTTCTGCTTCAGCGGCGAAAAAAGTTTTGCAGCTTAACTTTATCTATATATATAAATTTTTTTTTCTATTTTGTTATTCTGTCATCAAAATTAGTTTATTAGTTTACAAATATTACTGAAGCTAATTAGTCAAGTCTATCTAATCAGTATACGATCATAGAAGGAAATTATTAAAAGGAAATTTATTTAAATAACACTACATTGAAATGCAATTAAAAAGTAATTAAAATAAATTAGATTGGAATAGAGTTTGTAGAGGCAGCTAATTAATTAATTAGCTTATTTACTGACTAATTAAATAATAATTTAACTTAATTGATTTAAATAAGCAAATAAAATATAATATATGATATTGATAAATTTCCACTCTTGTTCAAATTGATTACTAACTGAATTCCTTAATGAAGTTTCGCTAATTTATATGTCGTTAATCTGAATGGACTACAATAATAAGCTTTTCAAATTATATATAATTTATCTGACGTTCATCATTAGATGAATGGTCATTTAGCAGAGGGCACCAAAGGGCTTCCGGGTTCGCCAAACATTTGCTTGACAGTTATAATAATCATAATGCAATTTATCATTAGTGAATCGCGTAATTTGGATCAACTTTAGCTAGAAAGAAAGAAGAGGCGGATATGATTTACTAGAAGGTTTTAAAGGACATAAAATTGATTGCAAAAACCAAAGCCTATTGGAAAAATGATTTATTTCTTTCTTTTGATAAGGAAAGCTAAGTTTTATAAATGGTGTTTTTATACCTAAATACAAAAACAAATATCTCTCGTATTACATTTTTAAGAAGTGACGAGCTGTAAATTTAATCTAGATACTGGATCGATAAATATCGATGATACTTTGCTCTCAGCAAGCAGTGCAAGCAGTACTACTTGCACTTCCTCAAACAGTGCTTGCAAATAGTAGTGCTACTTACTTGAGATCATTGTTGTCTGTCTTCTTAAAATATCAAGCATCAGCTTTGGTCGCCAGCCTGCATAAACTTTTGGACTTTTAAGATATTTTCCGTTTCCCGCTGTCGCTTAAGCACTTTACTAATTTTTAGCCTTGAGTCGTGGAGTAAAGATGAATCCTTAACTCCTGCTGCTCCTGCTCTTGCCCGCTGCAAGTTTTGGCCATTGTTTGCTTATTTGTTGCGTTTAATGGCCGCGTCATGTCGTCTACATTGACCAAATAATGTTTTTGGTACGCTGCTGCCGCTGCACTTAAAATCCCAAACGCTGGGCAATAAAAGCWGCTGAAGCTGTTGATGCTGCTGCTGCTGACCATTGTTGGGTACATTGTACCCTGGAAAGCGAGCGCATCCTAGTCGCCAAAGTTGTTGAAGAGAACAACTAGGAATGCTGCACTCGAGCTTAACCAACTGCATCATACTTGTTCAAGCTGTCAAGTAGTTAGATAAATAAATATCAGATATATATATGAGGTTTATATGTAGAGGAATACAAAAAATGTTCAACTAGTTGAAATCTGAAAGATCTTATTGATGTAATCTCCCCGATCTCTCCAGTCTCTCACTGCAGTTTTTGTATTTAAATATTATATTACATATAAAAGAGATTCAGACCAACTCTATTCTCATTTATTAACATTAGTTTATTACAGTTTAGCCATGTCTTTGGGCATATCTAAAATATCTTACGAATATGAATATATATTTTATTCAACCTACTGAAAAACCAATATTCTCTCTCTAAACGAGCATACAAGAATAGATATATGTATATACCTATATATATATAGAGAGAGAAAAGAAATTGTCACTGCACTACAATTGGAATTATTATTGGCTGCAATGAGTTTGGCTTCTTTGGAGGCACGTTCTGTGCGAAATGACTTTCGGTTTTATGATGCGACATGCATTCAAGCTCGGACACAACTGGACGGTCGTTTAGCTTTGGAATGCGGCTACAGCTTCTAACTCCCAGCCCCCAGCTCCCAGCTCCAGCTGCTGCTGCAGTTACTCCGCATCCGGCTTTTGCCGTGCATATCGCATATCGTTAGCAGAAAACTTGCGAGCGAGCTGAAGCTGTAAAACTGTCTTCGAAAGTCGTAAAAGTATTTCATACATTTTTGTGTGTTTGTTCTTTCCTCTTCTATTTTTTTTTTTTTTATGAAGTTCCAGCCAAACTGCAGTCGCTCTGTTAGCCATGTTGGCTTCTTGGCTAAGCAGCTGGCACGCCCACCCAGCACTTTGAACTTTTGACGCTAGCTATGCGCCTTGTTGAGGGCATTATAATTTTGTCATCAACTGTGTTATGTGTAAAAAGAAAGATCTTTAAAAATGTATATATAATAATTTAGTTATTAGTTTTTGTACAAACTCTCTTTGCAAAATTAAATATGTTGTTGATAAGCTGATAAAGGATAATCTTAACCAACATTGATTCACTTTGATAAGAAAATAACTCTTTAGATATATAGAGATATAGATATATAGAGATCTTCAACAAAATAAGTTTCACTTCTAAATATATTAATATATTTTCCGACATTGATCCACTTTGAGAACACATAAGCTCTTCAGATAATCAGAGATCTGCAAGGAAACTAGTTGAATATGTGTTCCTATGTCCCAATTGATGTCATATTTTACCACCTAAATTTTACCATCAAAACTTTACCAATCTACTATATGAATAATTGAGTATTATTAGTTCTCAATCAATCTCATATTTTAACACCTAAATTTTACCAATCTACCATATGAATCCACTTGGAATAATTCAATATATATTTTTTATGTCTCAATTGATCTCATATTTTACCATCGAAATGCTACCAATCTAACATATGAATCCTATAGGTGTAATTGTGTACACATAATAGTTAGGGTATTCAGACTTTATAATGATTTCCTTAGAGCTCCCTCGTTATGGTTAGCTTGAAAGCTTACTTGCCATATGATTGTTTATGAGCGCTGTCCGTTTTTATTTCCATTTGATTTTCATAAAGTTGACATGCTTATATGATAACATATGAGCGAATGGTGTTCGAGGTTCGTGGTTCGTGGCTCTGGCTTAAAGCACTTGCGTTGGCTGTGACAAACAGTTCAATAAAATACAAAATGTGCGGAAAATCGCAAATGTCATGGCAAAAGGGCGAGCAATTGGAAATCTCAAAACGTTTGCCACGTTTAGCTGCGACTGCTGCTGCTGCTGTTGGTGCTGTTGGTGCTGCTGATGTGCATTGAAATGGAAATGTGAAATGGTTTCTAGAAAAGAAAATAAGAAAAAGAAAATGAAATTGAAGAAGGAACTGCAAGCATTTCCATGCTGCAAATAAAGACGACAATTTGGCCTCGAGGCGAAAAATTATGAAAAGCAGCAGCAGCTAGAGAAAATGCAAACAGCATTTCAGATGCGAAAAGTAAATTTAACGTGGCAGATAAATAAGGAGACCCGCCCAGATAAAGATGAAAGATAAAAGTGGTGCGCGTGGCAAATGTGCCAATAAATTTGCAACCAAAAAACAATACCAACAAAAGCAGATTTTTGCCACACACACACACACACAGACACAGAGTGAGATCGACTGTTGCGTGAGCAAAACTTTTTATTTAGCTTGGGGGACAGGAGGGCGATGGGCGTGGCAGCTGTAGCATTTGCTGCAGCGGGTGCATTGCCGCGGCATTTGTCAGGCATTCAACTTTCAACTCTTGCTGCAAAAGTAGCTGCAGCTCAGCTTAGCTCAGCTTTTGGCAGGGTGAACGCAATTGGCAATTGCTGCTCCAACTGCTTCTCCTGCTGGCATTTGTTTACGTATGTGTTTATTTTTTAGCACTCTCGACAGACACGTACGCAACAACAACAACAGCAGCTCAGCTAAGAA